CACCAAACACCCAATCACATCACAGCAAAAGCAGATGAAAGTGTAGGGGTAGTCAATACCGTGAATTCACTTAATAACTTGGGCATGAACTTTCATGGTTTTGTCATGAAAAACATATTCGTGGGTTCTTAAATTTGTGAATTGTCTGGGCCGTTCTTTACAAAAATAAGTAAAATGCAAATAATGTAGTAGTGCAGATGAAATATGATTTCAATGAATCTTAAATTTGTGGATTAACCTATCTGTAAAAACCACGAAAATTAGTGCCCCCAGATAATAATGATTTCGAAAGTAGTTGTACACTATTTACTGTCCAGAGTTGTTGAGTGTCTCAGATATGTAAATGAAAACATTGTTAACAGCTTCAGTTTGTTTATGTGTGCATATTACTTTGTCTGTTTATGAAGGTTTTGTATATACTCAATTATTGTTGCATCTAAAGGTTATCTGGGTTTTATACTTTTTCCATTAGTTCACAAGAATCAGTACTTCAGAAATGTTCCTGTTGTATTAACCCTGAACCAGCTTAACAAAAAATGATGAAAAACCTTGGAATTACACAAAAACTAGATTTTCCATGTTAAATCTTGCCCTAACACCCAATTTTGGTGAAAAATTGTTGTTTTTTGACATTTTTTATTTTTTTAATTAACCTTTTACCCCATGAGCATATTGCGAAAAATGGCCGTTTTCATTGAAAAGCCTCCTGTAACAAGTTCAAACTGCTATGAAACTATGAAAAATGCTTCAATACTAATGAAACTTGGCACAAATGTTGACTACACCATAGCCTCTGTAACAGCATGCTCAATGGTAGATTTCCTGTTACCATGGCAACGGGGGGAGTCTCAAAATTGCCAAAAAATCACTATTTTTGCATTGTTTTTTTTCCATCAAAACTGATTTCAAAGTGCTTGCAACTTCTCAATGATTGACATAGAGTAAAAGCCTTTCAGCGTCGTTACTTGTTACCCTAAGATCAAACCTGAGGCCATTTTTAGCCTGTCACATGTCCAAAATTTTCTTGCGATGGGGGGACTCCGCCCCCCCCTTTCAAACCCCCCAAAGGGGGGGCACATCCCCTTCTGGCAACCCCCTGATGTAATATTGGATGGGGACGGCGCCGAAAAAAGTGGTCACTTTTTTTTAACCACATATTCTCAAACGAAAAACAGTGTACTCGATAGAGTATTTTTTCACTATTTGAGGCCTCAAAAGGGGGGGGGGCAAAAAGCGGTCGAAACACGCTTATATAAGGGAAAAGGTTAATATCTTTAATGAATTTGCCATCTTTCTATCTGGACAAATCCATTCTTTATTTTTAGGGAAATTTTCAAAGTAACTGAATAACAAGTAATGTAGACCTTGATCAGATGGCATGGATGTGCTGGCTGATGTTGGTCTGCACTAGTTGCATGGTTAGATCCATTTGCCACTTGTAGGCTAAGATTTAAATGAGAGGATGTGTTTTTCAGGATCAGCAACAGAGAATGTTTGGTGGTGGTCAGATGAACAAGCCACCTGGTATGTCAGTGACCAACATGGCCCAGCAACAGCCCCAGTTACCGTACAGCACAATGGGTCGACCACCAAACCAGACTTCACAGGGTATTAACTCTACAGCTAATCAGGTATGAGCAATAGACTACATTTATATGACTATATTTTTTATATTTTATATAATTTCCATCAACATTCAGTCAGAATACATTTACCTGATTTCTCTTGATACAAAAATTATGATATTATGAGGTTATTTTTACACATTGTTGAGTACAATACTGAATTCTAATGCATGAGTACACATCTTTCATGCCAATATTGGACAAGTTGCTAACCCAGTCCAGTATAGGTTTTGCAGCTATGTATTAGTCCAATTATAAACACTTCATGATGATTTCTTTATCTCACACCACCAGGTTTTTCAACTTTTGTTACTTAGAGTACAATATGGATTTGATATGGATTTTTGGATTCAGAAAATCAAAAAGAGGCTAGATGGAGAACAATATGGAATTTATTTACACTCTGAAGCTGAAAACTAGGCTAGATTGAGTACAATATGTATTTAATACTGTACTTTAAACACCACTGAAAGTTAAAGATATTTTAAGTCTTAAAATTTTAAGTCTTAAAATAAAAATTTAGCAATCAACATTGTCTGGCCTAGCTCTATACTTGTGGCAAATACTAATCATTAATGCTTCCATGCAGGTTAAGCGTGAAGTATGAAAATAATTTTGCTTTCTTATTATTAAGGACATGAGCATGATGAATCAAGCCAGGCTACAGAACATGGGAGGTCCTCAGATGTCACAGGACACTGGTATTATGCCAGTTGTTGGCGGCAACCCTCAAACTACCAACATGCAACAGTCAAAATCAGGCATGATGGTGAATATGGGACCAAATATGGGACCTGGGCCACATAACATGGTACCAGCATCTACTGGTATTACATCAATGCCTTCTAGTACAGGTATGGTAAAAACAATAGTAGTAATTATACTTGACTTCAAACCACTTGCCCTTCACCACTGTGGGTTTGAAGCCTGCCACGGATTTTGGATTCTTCCATGTGAGGAAGCTATCCAGCTAGCTAACGGAATGTTGGTGATTCCACTCAGGTTCCTGTTTGTGACTGACATAATGAATGAAGGGGCACCTGAGGTCTCTTCCACCAGCACAGCTGGAAAGTCACTCTATGACCTTTACAATGTTGGTGTAACTTAAAGTAAAAAGGAAAAATATGCTTACCTTCACTCTGCTTATTCATTCATGAAAGATGCATGCGAATGACGTCAGTTAAAGCATGGGATATTTCTTACATGGGGAGGTGCAAAATTTTTTCTAGCACTGATGTAAACAGTAGATAATCCTGTCTGATATGCAAGAAAACACAGTCTTTACTTACCAATCTTACAACTAGTACTTTGTTGTATGGCATCAAATGTTTGAGCTTCTATAACCTGGATGGTAGTTGAGTGAACATTATTGCATAATTATGAAGTACTCTAAGTCATTATACCTCAGGGTTGCTGTCATCAAGCTTTTGGAGAACAATTAGCAATAACGTTGGTATCTGTAATATCTTATGATTTAAACCTGCGGAACTAAATGCTGATTTTATTCATGTTTTTAATCCAGATATATTATGTAATATTTATTTTATCAAGGTGGGGTTGTTGGTGTAACACAAGCGCCAGCTAACATGGGAGGTAATGCATTTGCCCAGCAACAGATACCTGGACCAGATCAACAAGTAGCAAACCCTCTACAGAACAGAAATATTATATGGAAAGGTAAGAATTGTACATCATCTATACAAAAATGAGTATCATAGCATGAAATTTAAAGAATGTCTTTCTTTTTTAAAACTTACAGCTCATTATGAATTGTGTGTCCACTCCATTGGACATAACTCATGACTTACAAAACAGTATGAAGTAGTGTTAAATTTTATCAAATGTTAACCTGTAACCAGGTGGAAATGAAATGTGATAAGCCATTGCCACCAGTATAAAACCAGGCTCTATATACAGTTAGCTGAACATCTTCAAATTTTTATCTTGATATCCTTTATAATGATAATGGACAGTTCTAAAATGGAAGCTGGACAAGTCCATTTAAGAAATTCAACAGGCTATGGGTGAAATCCCAAATCATGGAAGTTAAATTTTGATTTAGCAGTACCGGTATATTATATGGATGTATTTGAAAGAGCTCTTCAGAGTTGTTAAAAAACATGGCATTATTTTTTGGCGGTCTTAGCTGTGCCAATACCACATGACTTCTGAATCAGTGGTGGGAAACAAATGGCCATTAGACTTGATGTTTGAGATCAATTGTTATGGAGAAATAACACCATACCCTACCAGCAACCCCTTGATTACTAATCCAATGCTCTTCCTATTGAGCTAAATGGGCTGACGTAAAAATGATGTAAAAAAACATGTGCTTCTGCATTGTTTTCAAATGAATTGAACAAAAAATGGGAATATTTTTTCAGAAATACTATTTTCTTCAAGTAAATCGGAACTTGAAAAATATAATAACTGGTTCCTGTTTTATTGTTGTAGGACAGTTAGAATGGCAAGATAAGAAGACAGTGATGCAGGGACCCAGTGCTAGAATAACAAGAAGTCTAGGATGTATGGTATCAATAGCAAGAACCGATTCAGATATGTGAGATATTGTTACATACTTATTTCTTCTTTTGACGATTGAAATTGTTAGTGACAACTAGCCCCTTAGCACTATAAATTTATTTCAAATTTAATGAGTTTAACTTGAGTGTGAGGTATCTAATTCTAATATATACTGTAGTGATTCATCTATGCATCTATCTATTCATAATGCATTCACTAGTGCATTAATGGCCACTTTACGGTCGAAATTGGCTTTTTATGAACAACACCATGTATATACATATTTTTGCATGAACAAATGTGAATGTTTCCCAGTTTAAAAGACATAGGTTATTGAAAATATAAAAAAGTAAAATATAATCACTAGAATATGTTGGTTGCATTTAGAAAAGCATTAAAGTCAAGATTTGAAGTTGTCTGAAGTAATACAAGATATAAAAAGATAGTTATTTCAAATATCTTAAATGAATTAATTGTATTTGGTTATTTCAGTAACACCCAAAGTTGGCCAAGTACTTTAATCATGCAGTTGATGCCACAGACTTTATTAAACTCACAGCAGTTACATCCCTTGTTTAAAAATAGCAGACAGGTGGCGTTCCATTTTCACAACACAAATCTTGATGATTTAAGAAACTTGTATAAAGTGATGGGCAGTGGATTTGTAAGTTGTTTTTGTCTATCTTTTAATCTCTGTAGTTTCAGTATCATGCTTAAGTGCAGAAATTTCACATTACATGATTAGTTACTTATGCTTATTTTTCAGAAGAGCATTTATGGTCACATAGTTAATAAAGGGCTGTCATTGAATATCGCAATATCAATGTATCATCAATATTCATCTTTCTATACAATATTGATAAACAAAATTTAGAATATTGATACAATTAAATTATATACATCTCTCCAATTCTTATGAAAATGCTCTATTTTCTCTCAGAAGAAAAGTCATTTCTTTCACTAATCAGATATTTAATAGACTCCTATATTTAATTTTCAGAAGTATTAGAGAAATAATGACATTTAAACTATTTTTGTTGTTGTTTAGTTTGCTGTGCTTTTGATGTCTTATATAAGCAAAAGCCTAGCACCATGTTGACAGTTTATAAACAAATTCAAATAGTTTCCACTATATGTTATCCTATATATCGATATATTGTTGATATTTTGGCTTTCGATATATCACACAAAATTTTCCATCAATTACAACCCAAGTTAAATATCATGTTGTTTTGTCCTGGTACAGAAAGGTTTAGTTCAATTTCAACCAAATATAGTTAAATATCCTGTTGTCTCATCCTTAACAGCTTGGATATGTTCATTTCCCACCAAATACAGTTAAATATCATCTTGTTTTATCCTGTTACAGGCTGGATGTGTTCATTTCCCACCAAGTACAGTTAAATATCATCTTGTTTTATCCTGTTACAGGCTGGATATGTTCATTTCCCACCAAATACAGTTAAATATCATCTTGTTTTATCCTGTTACAGGCTGGATGTGTTCATTTCCCACCAAGTACAGTTAAATATCATCTTGTTTTATCCTGTTACAGGCTGGATGTGTTCATTTCCCACCAAGTACAGTTAAATATCCTTATGTTTTATCCTGTTACAGGCTGGATGTGTTCATTTTCCCACCATTAGTAATACAGTTAAATATCCTTATGTTTTATCCTGTTACAGGCTGGATGTGTTCATTTTCCACCATTAGTAATACAGTTAAATATCCTTATGTTTTATCCTGTTACAGGCTGGATGTGTTCATTTCCCACCAAGTACAGCATGTGATATCCGTGTTCTATTGTTACTGTTCAGTAATAAAAGGAAATCATTTGTTGGTTTGATACCTAATGATCAGAGTGGAGTGGTAAATGGAATACGCCAAGTGATAACACAACATAAACAAAGGGTATGGATAAACTCCTTTGTTAGGTCTATATTATATAATTATGTCCTGTCTTAAACTTTGCTTTATGTTCATGCTTCCTAAAAGACTTATTTCAATGATGACTAATTTCTTGATTTCTTGTCTGCATTTGTTAAATCTATTTATCTGTTAAATTTATCTCTATATTGTAAGAAATGATAATTTATATCATGTTTACAAACATATATTGCAATAAACTAGTTACTTAGTGTGCTTTATTCTTAGTCAATTTTTTTCGTATTTTTTTTTTTACCTTTAGCGCATTTAATAATAATTCTGAAGCAATCATTAACATCTTCCTGTTTTATCTTCTTTGTTGTTGTGCTATCTTCTATATATGTAGATAATAATAATAACTAGGTAGTTACCTGTAACACTGTTATAGTGGTTGGTTTTGTTCTAACTTCTTTCACTGATTACTTAATTGATAAACAGTCAATAATATTTTGAATGTTTGGGGATTATTAGTCCCATACCGGTTTAACCGTCCGTCCGTCTGTCAGTCCGTCCACAAAACTGGATCCCGCGATAACGCAAAAAGTGCTGAAAATATTTTTATGAAACTTGATATATGGATAGATGGCAGTATGGAGATTATGCACGTTTTTTTTTCTTTCCTATGTTGAAAATTCTGGTTGCTATGGCAACAAATAGTCTGAAAATATGGCAAATTTAACACATAAACTGGATCCAGTGATAACTCAAAAAGTACTGAAAATATTTTTATGAAACTTGTAATATGGGTAGATGGCAGTCTGGAGATTATGCACATCTTTTTCTTTTCTTCCTATGTTGAAAATTCTGGTTGCTATGGCAACAAATAGCCTGAATTTCATGATTTCTTATTTAAATTTTTCACATTTTTCACTATAAGTTCTTTATTTCTTAAGGTGTTTACATCAAACTTTAAATATAAGTTTCTGGTCATCAACCACATCATATGTGACAAGGTTTACAACTCTAGCACAAAAATTATCAGTATTACCTCCCTTGAACTTAGAATTTTTTTATTTTTTTTTTAAATAACTTCTTTATTTCCTAATGCATCTACTTCAAACTCCATATATATGTTTCTTATTATCACTCAACATTTTTGAAAAGGTTAAATACTCTAGCAAGACTATTTCCAGAATTATGTCCCCCTTGAACTTAGATTTTTTTCGAGAAATTGGTATTTTTCACTCCAACTTCTTCATTCCTTATAGGATTTACTTTAAAATCCCACATAGTAATAATATGACAAGGTTGTATAAACATAATTTCCTTACTAGGCAGGGAAACTTTACACATTACTGTGATATAGACAAACTTAGAACTCAAAAGACTTAAGTTCATTCATGTCATTCATTCACTGGTAAAATTGAATGGCCAATGGCCCATCAGAATGTTGCTGGGGTTTTAACCTGTAGGGGACTTATGGATTGCTTGCAATACTATGATAATTGCTTGTTTCATTATGTCCAGCACCATTTTACAACTAATTACTTATTTTTTGGCATAAAATTTAGATGTTTACATCAAAAAGGACATTTTCATGGGTTTGTTAATTTGTTGATAGTTTGTCTTTTAAAAATAAGTAAAATGCAAATAATGTGATACAAAAATAATCGTCCAGCCCACCAATAAAATTTTGTTACAGCTTAAATGCATGGAATGACCTATCCGGGAAAATTTCGTGCCCTAAAAATGACGACATTTTTCTGCTTATTTGTGACTGCCTCATTTAAAAATTATGTCATATTGTCAAATTGAGTGAACAAATTACCTAGTTTTAGACATTACATGGCATGATGCCTTTGAGTATTATACTGTTTAGTGATTACCAACATGTACATAAAGGAACTTGCATATTGTCTCTTCATATTTACATATTTGTACAAATTCAGACATGATTCACATTTTCTGTGAAATTTCTACTTTGTATTGCTTTAGACACAAAGCAAAATCATGTGATTTTCTATGTTTGCCCAATTTTATACATGGACCAAAAATTGTGAAATTTTACATTGTTTGCTTTAATTTTACGTTGTTTGCCATATACCAAATTGTGAATTTTTTACATTAATTGTTTAATTTAAGACATAGGCAAACTGTCTGTGTTTCTATGTAATGTTGCTTTAGTGACAGACCTAAGTGGAGATGAATTTCTATATTTGCCTAAATTTAGACATGGGGCAAATTGTCTGTGCACATCTATAGTGTGAGATAGGGCACATAATTTATGTGAACTTCTGCTTTGATTCAACTAAATATATTAATCATCTGTCTGTGAAATACTCCTAATCGTCGCACTCCTTTAAGTAATGTGATGTCTAAACAATAGAAATATTGATAGTTCTTCTTCAGATGCTGAGTTGCCATGTAACTAAATATAATAAATCATATTGATATACTATGCATTGTATACTCTTGTGTTGCTACATGTAACTAGAGTTAATAAACTGTTGTTCTGTTCTGTTGCGTAACAATCAACATAGGGCAAATTTTTAGTGAATATAAAGTCTTACAAAAAATGGCAAACTGTTTGTGAATTACTACAGTACATTGTTTGCCTCGTTTGTTAATTACTACATTGCTTGCATTATGTGAATTACTACATTGTTTGCCTAATGTGGAGTACTACATTGTTTGTCTAATGTGAATTACTACATTGTTTGCCTAATGTGAATAACTACATTGTGTGCCTAATGTGAATTACTACATTGTTTGCCTAATGTGGAGTACTACATAGTTTGCCTAATGTAAATTACTACATTGTTTGCTGATATGAATTACTACATTGTTTGCGTAATTTTAGACTCAGGCTAAGTTGCTGAGCAGTCAGTTTGGAATACCCACTCCTTTAAGTTCCCAGGTTTGAACATTTGCCACTTCCCCCCATTTTTCTGCAAAACTTGTTGATGCCTTGATAGTTAACCCAGAACAAATTTACCCAGAAATTCTGTATTAACATTGTCTAATTCCCTATACTTTAATATAATGTATGCTAATTTATGTAAATATATTTATTTTAATGTTTAATTGTTCTGGGTTTACATCGACAGCATCTGATACTTCCTGCTTAATCCCATGCCTCGGATAAGGGAAATGCATATAAAATATACTAGTATTTGTTTGGTATGGTACGGTATTATATCAAAGTGTTCCATAGACAGAAGCCTAGAAAATAGACTATGATGTAACATGAACTCTTGTGTTTTAGATATGTTTTAAAGTTGTGGTATAGATACTTCTGAGTTTGATAAATTCACTTATACAATAAGAGATTTAAGAGTGAGACTTAAAAAGTGTTGGAGCACCACAACTAAATACTGTATTTTGGTATTTTCCGGACAAAGCGCTTGAATGATTAAATGATAAATCTCGCCTTTTCAACCCCCACAAAATGCACCCTTTTCACAGGGCTTTGAAAAAAGATAATGAATGAAACAAAAGTGTAAAATTCGGCAGAAAAAGTCATATTTGCTATTTTTTGATCATGATTTCTGGAAGTACCTGGAGGTACTGCTCCAACACTGTAGTGAGTTAATTCTGAGAGTTAAGTTATGAGTAGCTAGAGTTAGGTTTTAATAGTTCATTTATGTCTGAAGTTGATATTTTTGTAATGAAATTGTTTAGTGTATAAGCCTGTTTCATAGTATCCTCAATAGTTTTGTGTGTTAAAAAAAAATGAATCTGATTTTTTTTTTTAAAATAAGGAAAATCTGTTTTTGTAAGTTTTTGTGCATTTAGAATGCTTTGTTGCATGCCTTTGTTGCAAAATTTTATATGAAATTCAGCTTCCTTGTTAAACTGTATGTCTTCTCACCAAGACATGACATTTACAACAAAATCATGTTATCTTGTGAGAACATAATGTAGTGCATACAACTTTTGATTATTTTTGTTGTATATCTGGAAACATTGTCAAGTAAACACTCATTTGATTAACTGGATGATTTTGTTGACTGAAAGATCTATAGACAAAATGGTTTTTGGAAGAAATATTTTGCACCAGACATTTACAGCCTGGACAGGTGTAAAGTTTTATAGAAAAATTTGCTGGCTGCCGTAGATTAGTTTTACGATAGTTTGTGCTTTATGAATGGGTGACAGTCCTTGTAATTACATGCATGCAACATATGAGCCGCGTCACGACAAAACCAACACAATGTGTTTGCGACCAGCATGGATCCAGACCAGCCTGCGCGTCCGCGCAGTCTGATCAGGATCCATGCTGTTGGCTTACCAACCCTATAACAAGTAGAGAAACTGATAGCGAACAGCATGGATCCTGATCAGACTGCGCGGATGCGCAGGCTGGTCTGGATCCATGCTGGTTGCAAACCCATTATGTTGGTTTTGTCGTGACAAGGCTCATATTACTGATGTTTGAGTGTTTGACAATTTTTTTGTGTGACCTGGAACAAATGCATCTCTTTTCCCCAAAAATATTTTTGTCCAGAATGAAAAATGGACATCCAGTCCTTTGAAGATATTTACTTGGATAAAGGTTAAATTAACTTAATGGCTAAGGAATGCTGAATTACCAGGATTTTAAATCATTGTATAGGTTTTAACTTATATTAGTAAAATGAATATGGCATTTGCAATTCTGATTCAATTTCCTACACAACTCATAATTTTGGCATTCAGTAAAGTAGTGAATATTAGTGTATGTTTGTTTTGTACCATAGTCCATGCTCCTACATAGTTAATATTAAAACACTAGTCACACACAATTTTATTGCATTCTTGGTAACCCATACTATTTACCTTGTTGACATTATGCAAACTCTTTTCCAAGAATATCTGATTTATGTTAACATTGATTTCATTGGTCAAAATTTATAGTGAACATTCATGTATTATTTCTGTAAACTGAAATTTGCCCATTGTATTAAATGTAGTATATACGGAATGTGTACTGTGAGTTCCGACAATGTTATTGGTGGACCTTAATATCCTAATATCTTATTTTCATATAGCCTGTTTGTATTTTTCTTGTAGCAGATTCATTAGAATGCTAATATATATTTTATTTTGAATGTCTCAGATGCAGCAGACACCTGGACAGAATCCTATGCCAGGACCAGGTGGAATGCCAGGTATGGGACCACAAAATATGGGCGGTATGGTGCCAGGCTCAGGGCCCGGTGCAGCACAGGTAAAAACAAATATTTGATAAGTCTGTTTTTAATTTGTAAGTTGTCTTTCATGATATATGTATCATATATAAATGTATATATTATATGGTGTTTGCCTGCTTAGCACAATTAGGAGAGCCTCTTATAAGCAATCTTAGGAGTTGCTGGTTTGATCCTCAGACACCGCATAATTTGTCAGTGACAATTGATCTTGGATTTTGAGTCTGATGGTCATTTGTCTCTCATCTTTAATCCATAAGTGGGATTTTGATCCATAAGTGTGATTTTGATCCATAGGTGGGATTTTGATCCATAAGTAGGATTTTGATCCATATGTGGGATTTTGATCAATCCATAAGTGGGATCTTGATCCATAGGTGGGATTTTGATCCATAGGTGGGATTTTGATCCATAGGTGGGATTTTGATCCATAGGTGGTATTTTGATCCATATGTGGGATTTTGATCTATAAGTGGTATTTTGACCCATAAGTGGTATTTTGACCCATAAGTGGGATTTTGATCCATAAGTGGGATTTTGATCCATAAGAAGGATTTTGATTCATAAGTAGGATAAATAGCAGAAGTAAATTTTATTTATAAAATATTGGACCTTTGATTTGCCCATTCTTACTATTACATTAGTACTGTTGACATTTTTACTGTGGATCATGCAGATAGGTGAATAACTATGATAGGCATGAGTCATGTCATTGTGAACCTTAAGCCGGCTTTTGGCAACTGATTCCACTCATGTGACCAGTGCAGACTTTGGCATGCCTGTATTTTTTTATCATAATCTGTACAGTTCACTTTTCAGTTAGAATATAATAATTATATATATTAAAATTTCCCAAAAAAATGGTGAATGGTTTTGTCCTTGTTGAAAGATGGGCAAAGTCCATTCAAGATATTAAGCTGGTAAGTGTTAAAAAGGTTTCAATGATAAATGTAATATTGAATCATTTTAATGTTATTTTAGATGCCCGGAGCTACTATAGGAATGCAGCAGCCTAGAATGGGAATGGATCAGGACAGTCAAATGGTACGCTATACATTGTAACTGTTTTTAGCTCACCTTGCACAAAGTGCAGGTGAGCTTTTAGGATGGCCAACCAAATGGCGTCCGTCGTCTGTCGTCCGTCCACATTTTAAATATTCTAAGGACATCTTCTATGATACCGCAAGGCCAATGTTAATGAAACTTGGCAGGAATACTCTTTGTATGAAGCTCTATCAAGATTGTTCAAAGAATTCCATTTCATGCAGAACTCTGGTTGCCATGGCAACCGAAAGAAAAATCTTTAAATATCTTCTTTTAAAGAACCATAAGAGCTAGAGCTTAGATATTTGGCATGAAACATCTTCTAATGAGTGTCTACCAAGTTTGTTCGAATAAAAGCCCTAGGGTCAAAATTGGCCCGGCCCCAGGGGGTCATTGATTTTCCCTATATGCATATAGTAAAAACTTAAAAAATCTTCTTTTAAAGAACCCAAAGAGCTAGAGCTAAGATATTTGGCATGAAACATTTTCTAGTGAGTGTCTACCAAGTTTGTTCAAATAAAAGCCCTGGGGTCAAAATTGGCCCCGGCCCGGGGGGGTCATTGATTTTCCCTATATGCATATAGTAAAAACTTAAAAAATCTTCTTTTAAAGAACTGTAAAAGCTAGAGCTTAGATATTTGGCATGAAACATCTTCTAGTGAATGTCTACCAAGTTTGTTCAAATAAAAGCCCTGGGGTCAAAATTGGCCCCGCCCCAGGGGGTCATTGATTTTCCCTATATGCATATAGTAAAAACTTAAAAAATCTTCTTTTAAAGAACCCAAAGAGCTAGAGCTAAGATATTTAGCATGAAACATCTTCTAATGAGTGTCTACCAAGTTTGTTCAAATAAAAGCCCTGAGGTCAAAATTGGCCCTGCCCCAGGGGGTCATAGATTTTCCCTATATGCATATAGTAAAAACTTAAAAAATCTTCTTTTAAAGAACCCAAAGAGCTAGAGCTAAGATATTTGATATGAAATATCTTCTAGTGAGTGTCTACCAAGTTTGTTCAAATAAAAGCCCTGGGGTCAAAATTGGCCCCGCCCCGGGGGGTCATTGATTTTCCCTATATGCATATAGTAAAAACTTAAAAAATCTTCTTTTAAAGAACCGTAAGAGCTAGAGCTTAGATATTTGACATGAAACATCTTCTAGTGAATGTCTACCAAGTTTGTTCAAATAAAAGCCCTGGGGTCAAAATTGGCCCTGTCCCAGGGGGTCATAGATTTTCCCTATATGCATATAGTAAAAACTTAAAAAATCTTCTTTTAAAGAAACCAAAGAGCTAGAGCTAAGATATTTAGCATGAAACATCTAATGAGTGTCTACCAAGTTTGTTCAAATTAAAGCCCTGGGGTCAAAATTGGCCCCGCCCCAGGGGATCATTGATTTTCCCTATATGCATATAGTAAAAACTTAAAAAATCTTCTTTTAAAGAACTCAAAGAGCTAGAGCTAAGATATTTAGCATGAAACATGTTCTAATGGGTGTCTACCAAGTATGTTCAAATAAAAGCCCTGGGGTCAAAACTGGCCCGCCCCGGGGGTCATTGATTTTCCTTATATGTGTATAACAAAAACTTAAAAATCTTCTTTGAAAAAACCCAAAATAGCTTGAGTTTAGATATTATACATGAAACATTTTTAAGTAAATATCTACAAAGTTTGTTCAAATAAAAGCCCGGGGGTCAAAATTGGCCCTGCCCCAGGGGTGTCATTGTTTTTTAACTATATGTGTATAGTAAAAACTTAAAAAATCTTCTTTTAAAAAACCCAATGAGCTAGAACTTAGATGTTTAGCATGAAACATCTTCTTATGGGTGTCTACCAAGTCTGTTCAAATAAAAGCCCTTGGGTAAAAATTGGCCCGGGGGGGGGGGGGGGGGCTATATACAGGTGAGCGACCTCAGGGCCATCATGGCCCTCTTGTTATATCAACATGTTTTGTTTAGAAAATATCTGTAGGCATCTGGGTCTAGTCTACTGTTTTTAATGATTTATATGATTGATATTCTTGAAATATTTTGGCTCATCTGTAGGCATGCAGCTTTAACAAGAATCTTCATAAACCCTATGGACAAAGCAGCGTGGGGTCAGTACCATAGTCAGAACAGTGGCAGTTCTAATGATTTTAGTTTATATTCTTTAATTGATTAAGTTGATGAAATGTTTTATTTGTATTTCAGGTTCAGGCACTGAAAATGCAACAAGAACAAAAGGCAAGACAACAACAACTTCTAGGTTTGTATTTTGTATTGCTGATTATATATAATGTAATATCCTATTATTCTAGAATGTTTTTAAAGTGAAGTCATAGGTGTTCAAATGATTTGAAAGAATATTGAGCTTTTTTATGAAATATATGAGTCCATTGGTTGTTTTGGATTGTCAATCATTTCTTTATCACTGGTCATTGACTTCAAACCACTTGCCACTCGCCACTGTGGGTTTGAATCCGGTCAGAGATTTAGGATTCTTTCATGTGACAAAACTATCCAGCTAGTTTACACAAGGTCGATGCTTCTCATTTATTTTTAAATGGACTAAATTTTCTGTAAGCAAAATAATAGTATCAGTAACAAAAAAGTCTCAAGTTGACGAAACAGTTTTGTCATTTTTACACCTGTGACTTCAAATTGCATACTGCTGTAGTTTAACTTGTAACAAATTAACAGACAACAAAATATAATGAGTTTTATATGACAATAAATTAGTGTAATGTTGGATAACTGTGGGCTTTATGTGATAACAAGATAATGTGGGTTTTATGTGACAAGTGTGGGTTTTGTGTGAAAACAAATTAATAAGGTTTTGGTGTGAGAACATGTTAAAAAAGGGCTTCATGCAAGATATATGTAAGTGGTATGAAGAAGATACAGGTATTATCATGTTTTGCTCAAAGGTATTTACAAATGTAGGTCATATTGGTATAGCACTTGTCCATCTGTTTGTATGTCTGTTAGCCTCAGTGAATACTTGATAACTATTAGGTTTACTGTCTTTGTGCTTGATATGGAGGATGATTATTTCAGTAGATAATGCCTGTTTATTTAATGGTCATAATGTCAGTCACTGTGACACAAGACATAAAATCTTTGTCAATGCAATAACTTGAGAAGGAATAAGCAGAGGTTTGTGAAACTAAGTAGGGACATTTTTCATGGCCAGTAAAGGACCCATTGAGGTTTTGAAATAATTAGGTCAAAGTTCAAGGTCACGGTCAAACTTAGTTGACAATACTTTTCTGGTTCATTAACTTAGAAAAGAATAAGTATATAATTGCAAAATTTAATAGGAACATTTCACTTGGCAAGTTGAAGACACCCATTGGTATTAAGGTTAAAGGCCAAGGTCACAGCAACAGTCAACTTGAAAAGATATAAGCCTTGGTTTTACTTTTAAAAACTTGATATTGACATTTCCTATGACAAGATGGTGACCCTTGTTGATTTTTAGGTTTAAGGTCAAAGTCACAGTGACACTTGAGTAAAATTCATGTCAAATTGGTAAATTGTTCCAGTTGCTTTATTGTTTCACCTAATTTTCAATTGAGTCCTTTCACATTTTTACACTGTACATCATGCAACAGCACATACTTTGGGTGTATACTGCGCCATCATGCATAGCTTTTGTTAAAGTTTGATGAAAATGTGAAATGCATTTAAGAAGTATAATTCGTATTTTGGGCAATAGGGCAAACATCATGGGATATGGGTATTGAAATGGAAAAAAAAGTATTATTCCCTGCGATAACAATATCTGATCTTTGTTACCATTTTATTCGCTATTATTTTAATATCTTATATAAGTTTTATATTTTGCCATTTTACTGCTTAAAATCTTTATTTTATATTTTCATCTCCATTTTTAGCTCGACTATACGAAGTATATGGAGAGCTGTCCTACTCGCCCCGGCGTCGGCGTCCGCGTCCAGATTTTAGATTAAAGTTTTGGTGCAGTAAAATATTTTTCACTATAACTTTGTCATTTCTTAAGGTATCAACTTCAAACTTCAAATATATGTTCCTAATCATCAACCACATCTTATGTGACAAGGTTCATAACTCTAGCACCAATATTTTCAGATTTATCTCCCCTTGAACTTAGAATTTTTCCCTTAAAAAATACTATTTTTTACTGATACTTCTTTATTTCTTAAGGGATCAACCTCATACTTTAAATATATTAACGTTATCATCAACCACATCTTATGTGACAAGGTTCATAACTCTAGCACCAATATTTTCAGATTTATCTCCCCTTGAACTTAGAATTTTCCTCAAAAAATACTATTTCTTACTGTTTCTTCTTTATTTCTTAAGGGATCAACCTCATACTTCAAATATATTTACGTTATCATCATCCCCATCTTATGTGACAAGGTTCATAACTCTAGCACCAATATTTTCAGATTTATCTCCCTTTGAACTTAGAATTTTCATAAAAATATAATTTTTGACTGTAACTTATTTATTTCTAAAGGGATCAACTTCATACTTCAAATGTATTTACGTTATCATAATCCACATCTTATGTGACAAGGTTCATATCTCTAGCACCAATATTGCAAGAATTATCTCCCCATAAACTTAGATTTATTTACTAGAAAAATATTATTTTTTATTTTAACTGTTTTATTTTTAAAGATATCTACCTCAAACTTCAAATACTTATTCCTTATCATCAATTACATTTTATGTGACAATGTTCATGAATCTTGAAGCAAAATTTACAGATTTATCTCTCTTTGAACTTAGGTTTTCTTTAAGAAATATAATAACTTCTTTATTTTTTAAGGTATCTACTTCAAACTTCAAATATATATTTCTTATCATTACACAAATGTTGTGTGGTAAGGTCCATAACTCTAGCATGACTATTTCTAGAATTATTCCCCTTGATCTTGGAATTTATGTTAACAAATGTTATTTTTTTACTATAACTTAATACATAATTATACATAATTGATTTTTCTTTCATAGTTTTGTCCTCCTTACTGCGTCCAGTAGTTTATTAGTCGAGCTTCGCTGTCTCCTGTGACAGCTCTTGTTAGACATGCTTTTGAGGTATTCACATGAATATGATAAATATAATTAATTAATGATAATCAATAGATAAATAACAAAGATTTTGATTTATTGAAATCTCGAATGTTTTACACATGGTCCTTAAAATTTAAACAGCCTCTTCTGTTATTACTGCTTATTATTAAAGTACCATTTAAAACGTTTTTGTCAATTCATTAACATGAAACTTTTCATGGAACATATGTATTAATCACATAAACATGAAATGGTTTACCTCTTTTACATGGAACATTTTATTCTACATTATAAAAGGACAGGATAACTGCGCTATCATGGAACAATTACTGTATTTTACATAGACCTTTTTTACCACATTTACATGGAACATTCTAATCAGATTAACTATCACCGTTTGGTCATGTTATTGGGGGAACATTTTATTGCATTAACATGGAACATGACTTTTATCATATATACTCGTCATCATAGATTTGTATTGAATGTTTTGTATTATTATTGCTAACAGCTTTATTGAGGCCATAAATAGAATTGTTTGTTTCCAGGGTCTCTTAGCTTTAAAACATATCTTTAGAAAATTTAAAATGCTGACAAACTATCAGATGAAATCATAGGTTATGTATATGAAGTATAGAATGTTTATAAAAACTGGAAACAACCAATTTTTGTGTGCAGTATTTCACCTAACCTTGAGTTAACACAGTTGGACTAACTTTTCTTTTTCTTAGATGAGATGTATTATGGGCCACCACAAAATATGTTTTCGGGTAGGTATATATGTATTATGTTCACCATCACAAGGTGTTGGTTGCCATGATTATCTTGTTTCCATGGTTACATGGATATACATGTATGACTTCCAATTTCTATAGGTATTTTTTCTCCAAAATTGTTTTCTTTGTACAATAGGTGTGCTTCATTTATATTTGATATAGTTTTACACTATTACACTTTTCGGGTAAATGTTTATTGTATGTACATGTATTTTTTTGTATTTTTCTGGAGCGGCCATATTTAAAAAATATCTCGTTTTTTTTCAAAACTGTATATGAATCTTAACGCTTAACCTGCTTATTCTTAACCTCCAGAAATTTCAAAATGGATTTGCCCAATTTTGAACTGGAACAGTCCATTCAAAGTTGTGAGGGATTTGAGTATTGAAATACGAAAAAATTACGTAACCATCATATAGAGCTTGGTTGACTGCATGATCACGCAGGGTGACATGGCTCTATACTTGTGGCAAAGGCTGATCACTTTGGATTCCTGCAGGTTAAGGGTTAATTGTATCATACCTACTCGTGTTTTGGAAGAGATCGGAATTATTATATATGTATATTAAGATATACCTTATATGGTAAAGTGGAAAATAAGTAAATGTCTTATGATAAACACCGGTATTTTTTTTTCACGCTTTAGTCTGTTCGTGTTGAAGCTTGTTTAGTTAGATAAAAAAAATACACAACCTACAAACTATAGTTTAGTGAAGAGAGGTTCAGATTTGTGTGCATGAGGTGTAATCCCTTCCGACCATTGTTATAAGTAGCATTTCTCTCTCTTGAGGTTTCGGATAAATGGATTTGGAGATTTTGCCCTTACCCAAATATCTTAAATGGACTTGTCCAACTTTCAATCTGGACAAAACCATTTAGCGTTTTAGAGAAAAAAAAATTCTAAGTAATGACTGGTCAATTAAGGAAACTATGCAGGTCATGATCAGATTGTACAGATGTTTTGGCTGGTCTTAATCTGCAATGGCTGCAGGAGTAAAATCAGCTGCCAACAGCAAGCTAATGGTTAAGAGGGCTGTGTAACGGACATCATAAATAATTTCAAGTTGCTAAAAGGTGATAATGTGTCTTTTTAATATGTCTTATAAGAGATAAAAAGGGGACATTTTTTTTATCGTCTGTCTCTATTATGGTTATAGTGTATTGCATGAGATATACAAAAAGTCTTTCTGTGTTTTTGTATTGTTGGTCAGTGGTGTATAATGTTTCTGACAAACTCCTTTTAGAACCTTAAGTAAAAATGATGAACAAAATATGTTTCTATACATGTATTAAGTGTCACTGATGTATTCAGGATTTCCTTCCATCAATACCTTCAATGTTATAGATGTTTCCATTTCTAGTACATACAGTTTTGATAAAAGTATATGTTTAGACTTTGGAATGGTCAAAAAATATTATCTAAGACTACACAAACAGATTAAACAGTTAATTTAAAGCAGGAAACAAGATAGAATTTGTCATATAAAAAGGTCAATTTTTAATTTAATTTTGTCTTGGAAAGACTCCGGCGATCCACATTGTCTTGCAGAACTGTGATGCAACACTGTCTCACTTCACCAGTTCAGTGAATCAATGTTGATTTTGTGCAATAACTGATTAACTGCAATTAAATTTAGAAGGACTTATTCCGTTATTGCACTAAGGCAATGCTACGCATACAGGTCTGGCATCATCAGTTGGTTGGTCTTGTGTTCTAGCTGCCTAGTTCAAGTCATTTGACCGCTTTTATAAAAACCCAAAAATGTGTTTGCGACCAGCTGGATCCAACCAGCCTGCCTGCCCGTATTCACTGAAATCCATATTGGCTGTTTGTTAAACTTCTGAAAACTATGCGAACGAGATCTGACAGTGACAGGAGTCGCAGGGTTATAAGCATTAGCTGCGTTCAATCCCCTTTGTTACAGTTATCGATAGTAGGAATGATAAGATAACTGGTCATTGATGGATGGAAATTCTGAATATGTATAACTAATTAGAATGATTGGCATGAGATAAGTAATACATGGTTGTGTACCCTTCTACCCTTGCATGACTTTTGTGTTGGCAGTCGTCCAAAAGTTATTAAATCTGTTGTCTTGACTTGAAATGTACATTTTGTAAAGTTTTTGACTTAATTGATATTAACTGTTAACCTGCACAGACCAAAAGTAATTAGCCTCTGCCACCAGTAGAGCCAGGCTAGCCAACACTTATGCGCAGGCTGGCCTTGCTATACACTGTGGGCTGACAAATTCTAAATTCTAAATTTTTTATCTCGATATTTCAAGTTGATAATGGACAGCTCCAAAAATAAACACTGGACGAGTCTATTTTTAGAAATTCAGCAGGTTAAGGGTTAAAAGGTCATCTTAATTTGTATTATACTACCATCAGGCATCTGTATCCTGTAAAAAATGGTGGAAGATGTAATATGCTTAAGAAGTAACATTATAAGTAACATTACATGATGAAATGCAAAAAAACACACTTAACTATATAGTATACATTCCCTGAAATGACAGAAAATATGATGTTCTTAAACTTAATAAGTTACTTCTTTAATTCTAGTACATTAGCTGATTTGCATATCTGAGATGCTTATTTGCTTAGTTTAACTTCATTTTTTTTTAACCTTTTACCCGATATATGAAATATTTAAATATGCGGTAATCTTAACCTCTTGAATTAATGTGCTTTACTACATGTCTTTACCTGAAGCTGTTGAACTTGCTGTTAATTGGACCATTATTGATCTCTGGTTAAATTTTCTTGGAAAATGATACTTGCAGTATCTGAGTCATTATTTATTAATTTAAATTGTTTTGAATGATAAGATATAATTATAATTCTGGTAGTCTTACTGAAATGCTTTCCCGCCAAGAAATTTCTAACATCGGCCAATATCTTAATAAATCAGTCATTTCCAGAACATTATTTTTCACAATCTTTGGTATTCAACAAATTTTAACTGTTTATAATAGGAATTTAGTATATAGCGATAAAAGATGAATGATTGTAAATCATCCAATGCCCAATATTTTGAAAAAATAACATTCCGGAAATAACCGATTTGCTACTATATTGGCCGATGTTAATTTTTTTGGCTGGAAATCATTACAGTAGGACTACCTTAATAAGGACATTTGTTAACATATATAATCAAAAGCTTATGTTATCTGATAAACCTAAAACTGATCAAATTGACAGCATAGATTAAGTTTTTGCTGACTCAGCAGATATGTTGTGGCATGTAGCTAGCATATAATTTACGAGTGAAGGGGTTGAGTAAGCAACGGCTATGTGAGAAATTAAAAATCTAGAATCGTTTTCTTTCTGTCTTGTTAACAGTTCAACAACAACAACAACAGCAGCAGCAGCAAATGCAGCAGCGTCAACAGTTACAAATGCAGCAGCAGCAACAACAACAACAGCAACAACAACAACTTAGACATCTGCTGCTAAATCAGGTAAATTTTGTTGTTGTTTTGTCTGTCTCATGTTGGCAAGTTAGCAAGAAGTGGTTAAGATGAGCTGTATGATGATTGACTGTCTATTTATCTGTCATCCATAAAAAACATTATTAACACTTTCCACACTAAATATCTTAAATGGACTTGTCCATCTTTCAATATGGACTAAACCATTCATCATTTTTTAGGGAAAATTTATTAAATATCTGTTTTGAAATTATACTAACGGGTGCAGACCATGTAAAAATGGTGAAGATGATCTTGGTCTGATGAGTACATAGTGAGCAAAAAAACGACTTGAAATTGTTCATTCCTAAATACTTCATGATTTCTTAGCTCGTACCTTTTTCTATGAAAGGAGTTATGCTATCGCCGGCTTCAGGCTTAGGTAACCTTTTATTTTTACCTACCCATATATTGAATATTAAAGTATGGCTTTGAACTTTAATTATTGTTCCCCTTAACTCCCATGAAATTTTAAGTTTTTGCTGACCAGCAGATATTTTGCTGTTGTAGATTTTAATTTCGAAAGTTGAGAAAACCCTTGGGGTTACAATCATGTTCCCATAACATGTCCAGAGAAGTAATCTGTCAAAGATTATTGAATATGGCCCATTAAAATGCAAGTTTGCAACATAGGCAAGCAACAAAAAACTTAACTCCTGTTTTTTTTTTTTTTGCTTACCAGCTGCAGTTGACTTAAAATTTAAACTTATGATGATTGTTCTAATGGTATCACACAAAAAAATTTAATTCTTCCACTAAATATCTTAAATGCTTGTCCATTCTTTCAAAATACAAGAGATTCTTATGCTTTTACGAATTTTTAAAATTTTTTTATTTGGCAGACATATAAAAAGTCGATGCGCTGCTGTCATTACGGACAAGCTTTTGTTCATATCTTCTTCATAGCCCTTTCTCAAGTTCTTTAAAAATTTATTGTAACATGGAATTTTCGTTACAAGAAATGATATCCAGATTATCAATACTTTAGAGTGGTTGATCAATGCTTTATCAAAGTCTTTACATAATTTTCATCTAATAAGATTATGGTCTTTAAATACATAAACCTTCTTTTTTAAAATAAATAACCAGAGTCCATATGATGATTAATATTTTTATTTCCTTAAATAAGTACTTACTTCTATGCCAAAGATAATTACTTAACGGTATTATGCAAATTGTTAAATCATTGTAAAAGCAGGGAGACTAGATATTGAATTAATTGTGATTGGTCAATTTTGTACATGTGCTCTTCATTTTAAAGTACAGTTAATGTTAGAAAAGAATGGCCTCAATGACTCAGCAGTTTTGACAAATTTTGCTAATTTTTCTTCTTTGTCAAGTTGTCTGTTGCATATTGCAATAATTTTATACATTTCATGTCTTAGCGTCAACAACAGCAGCAGCAACAACAACAACAGATGATGATGCAAGGTCAAGGTCAGCCACCAGGAATGATGGGAGGTCAACAAGGGATGCCGGGTCAAGTTCCAAGTGGAATGGGGAACCAGATGTCTCAACCACAACAACAACAGAATCTGCTCTTTGATGACTTTGATCTGCCTTTATGAAATAATAATATAACAAGCTAAAGTTCTTCTTTTATGAAATATTTATATGCCATAAATTATGGAGTAAGCATTTAAAATGCCAAAGTTAAGAGCTTGACTTTATTATGTATGTTGTAACAAGATCTAAATCTGCCCTTGTGTAGTGTTTAGTTTTATGTACATTGTAACAGGCACTTGATCTGCCTCATTAAAGTGCTTGATTTTAGGTATATGATCTGCCTCATTAAAGTGCTTGATTTTAGGTATTTGATATGCCTCATTAAAGTGCATAATTTCGTGTACATCGTAACAGGCACTTGATCTGCCTCATTAAAGTGCATGATTAAATGCACATCATAACAGGTACTTGATCTGCCTCAATAATGTGCTTGGTTTTTATGTACATCAATTCAGATATTTGATCTGCCCCATTTAAGTGCATAATTTTATGTACATCATTACAGGTACTTGATCTGCCTCATTAAAGTGCTTGATTTAATGTACCTCCTAACAAGCATGTGATCTACACAAATGAAGTGTTGGACATGTCATTCATTCAAAATGAACTAAATCATCTTCTTTTTTAAGAAAAATTGACCTTTTCGAAAAACCTAGCTTAACACCGTTTTCCGGTACGTTACCGTTTTAGCTCTGGGGAATTACACCAAATGAAGTACATAACACAGTTACGTGATATTTCTATTTTCTATCATTATTTAACCCTTTAAGGTGAAAAAATTGATGTTTTTGAAAATTATCAATATTCCTTTGATATCTATTGCAAATTATTCAAAAAAATAAATCATTTATAATGAAAATCAATAAAATTCAAACAGACGTAGTGGAATCTTCCATAATAAATAAGGTTATTTTCTGTGTAAACTTGTGCATTTACTTTATTTTTTGTATGGAAATATTCAGACAATGATATTTAATTATTTTCTTATAAAAGAGATAACTGTTTTATTTCAATTTAATTTAAAAAAGGCCGAAAACATCGAGTTCCCTATTACACTCCATTAGGTGAATTCCCCAGAGCTATGTACAGAAAGTACCGGAAAACGGCGATTAGCTAGGTTTTCGAATTCGTGAATTAAAACTGTTGTACAGACTGAATTAACAGTGCAGACCATGATCATTTGGCACAGATTAAGTCATAACTTGATAAGACAGTGTGGATGTATGGCTGATTTTTATTGCACTAATCAAATGGATATTGTATCAGGCTAAATAACTTAAAATTCCATCTGTTGCATGAATGAGATATAAGAAACCTATCCAGAAATCAAAGGAATATATACTAAATGAAAAAAGTGATTTTGTTTTGCCAGTTTATTCTATATTTTTGTACTTCCGTTTTTTTGAAAGCTTTTGTAAAGCCATTGTATTGAATGTATTGTATTATATGAGTCAGTTTTTATTTTCAAACATGTTTAAATACTTGTTTATAACAGTATTTATATTTAACTGTCTCAAAATGTGTGTGTATATAGATATGATCTGTTAATTAAGTCAGTAACTGTCTATAAAATACTTGCATAAATTATGAATTATTTAACAAACATTAATGAATACTAAGAGGAGTGTTTAATTTAGCCATTTGCTTTGAAAAATGAGTCTCAAGATATTAAAGACTTCTATATTAAAGGTCCAATTTTTATAGAATCTAAGCTTCAATGAAACCCTGTCTGATGACGGCATATTTGGTTTTCATTGCAGTTACTGTATGGTAATAACTTATGAAATACATTACATCCTTTATTGTCAGAAAATTTGTTTGAAAATCATACCAAAGTACCTAAATTTGTAAATTTCTGTTAAAGTGAGTGGGGCATACTAACACCACTACTGGCATGCGAGCAGTTCCCGTAAAGAAGCAGTACCCGTATTTTTCATTTAAACGCTTGATTTTTACTTGCATTCTTCAAAAATTCATTTCAAATCAAACAGATACATAAACGAGACAAAATCTAAGTGTCAGTTCTGCAGTACGTATATAAAGTCTCATTTTAAATCACTTTCACCTGTGCGTCGTCAAAACGTGACCTTGTTTTCTCTGGGGGATTCCGTCCTTGCGTGCATGCGCAAAAATACTTACATGTGAGGCTTGTTAAAGGGTTTTCCACTAATACCACCTGTTTACAGATAAGTAGACAATGTGATGAAAACTTGTTTAATTATCAGAATTTTGACCAATATTACTATATAAAATAATATTTATGGCTTTGATGCGTAAAATATCATGCATACAAGCATGCGATTGCATGTGAATGCGTTGGGGTAACGGTACCGGGTAATAGATACCCGCGTTAAGCCTACGCTCTATTTCCTGAATTACATCTATTTATCTCTTAGATAATGGTCTGTTCAACAATTGTAAATGAAAAATAGGTCCGATAAAATAAAATTGTATAATTATAATGGGTTAGATTTTATGTACGGGAACTATTTCTCTTCATACAAAATAATGAATAATTTCGTTACCCCATATGAGGCCTCATAAGTAAGGGTTATTCTATGTTTAGAACATGATGGAATTTCCATGATTTGTGTGACGAGCCGAATATTGATGTGTAAAATTCAAATTTTGGTGAGTGAGCGTAATAAAAAATAATATTTAAGTAACTATGATTTTTGTACGGGAACTGCTCGCATGCCAGTATGTATTCTAGGTGATTACATTTTATTCTTATTTCTAACATAATTTATGGATAAACTTTTTCTAAAACTATCGAGAAAACAGTTTGATTATAAGAATATGATATCAATGTTGTTAAACAGCTTTTTTAATGTGTTAAATAATTCATAATTTAACTGTCAGATGTAGCATGACAATTAATATATGATTTAAGGAATCAATAAGAAATGCTTTCATATCACTAACCAATTAGATTACCTGCATGATTTTTATTTAAAAGTTGAACGAAAAAGGAGTTTATTGCCATAAAAGGTGTTTGACTCAATTAATTGTTATTGTTTTCATTTTCTATTACATTGATATATTTATTTATTCATGGACATTGCATGATTTTTTTGATACTGACTTAGGTGTTTTGTTTTTTTCAAAACAATATTTTTTGAGAGAGATTTACAAATTTTGACAGAACAGTTTTAAAGATATTTGTGAGATGATTTGTATTGTATTTTGTGCATATTTGTATTATGTATATATTGTTGAACAATTTGTTAATCAAATGATGATCTATCATTGTATTGCCGATTTATTACATCTGCTATTGTACTTAAGTTATATTGCAGATTGGTGTACAGTTGTATGTAAAGTTATATTGTAGATTGATAGATCTGCTGTTGTATGTAAGTAGTATTACAGATTGATCTACTACTGCATAAAAGAGTTTGCACATTGATAGATGTGCTGTTGTATTTAAGTTATATTGCAGATTGATGTATTGTTGGTGAGTTATATTGCAGTTAAATGTAAGTAATATTGCAGATTGACCTGCAGTTGTGTGCAAGTTATATTGCAGATTGATCTTCGATTCTGCAAGTTATATGGCAGATTGCTCTGCAGTTGTGAGCAAGTTATATTGCAGATTGATCTTCAATTGTGCAAGTTATATGGCAGATTGATCTGCAGTTGAGTGCAAGTTATATATTGCAGATTGATCTTCAATTGTGCAAGTTATATGGCAGATTGATCTGCAGTTATGTGTAAGTTATATTGCAGATTGAACTGCAGTTGTGTGCAAGTTATATTGCAGATTGATATTCAATTGTGCAAACTATATGGCAGATTGATCTGCAGTTGTGTGCAAGTTATATGGCAGATTGATCTGCAGTTGTGTGCAAGTTATATTGCAGATTGATCTTCAATTGTGCAAGTAATATGGCAGATTGATCTGCAGTTATGTGTAAGTTATATTGCAGATTGAACTGCAGTTGTGTGCAAGTTATATTACAGATTGATCTTCAATTTTGCAAATTATATGGCAGATTGATCTGCAGTTATGTGTAGTTATATTGCAGATTGATCTGCAGTTATGTGTTATTTTGCAGATTGATCTGCAGTTGTGTGCAAGTTATATGCAGATTGATCTTCAATTTTGCAAATTAAATGGCAGATTGATCTGCAGTTATGTGTAAGTTATATTGCAGATTGATCTGCAGTTGTGTGCAAGTTTTATTGCAGATTGATCTTCAATAGTGCAAGTTATATATGGCAGATTGATCTGCAGTTATGTGCAAGTTATTACACTGTATTTGAGTTATATTGTAGATTGGTCTTATATTGCAGATTGATAGATCTGCCATTTTATGTAAGTTATAATGTAGATTGATATGCTATTTTATGTTGACTATTTATATTGACTTTATGCCATGTTTGTTATGAAAATGATAGTTATTGTTAAGTATGTATGATGAATTAATTATGTATACAGTGTTAACTGGCATTTCATTAAGATCTGAAAAATGGTATTAAACAGGTGTTTTCAAGTACCGGTATCTTATTCCCGGCATTTAAATTGAAAAGTTATTGAATATTTCTGAAATAAAGTCACTCGTGTTTAAATCTATTATGCTTACTTTTATTTTGATAAATGAAATTTTGAGTTTAAAAACCAAAGAACAACTACTTCTGGTTGAAGATATACTATGCTGAAGTAAAATATTTGTATTGCAGAAATTTATTGCAATCTATAAAATTCTTACTGAATATGTCATATTTAATTAAAAGAACGTAAAACTATATATTGGAATCTTTCTTCCTTATTACAGGTCAAATAAAGCTGGTCCTTTCTAAAAAATATGACACTTTATATTGAAAGTGTGTCCACAAATAGTGTGTAGGATTTAAAGCATAACATATCTTCTTTGTTTGAAGTCAAAACATGTTTATTTTATGTTTTTAAAAAAAAACTGTGTAGCAATTATCAATATATTCAAATGTTGAGCAAGGTACATGTATATCTTTAATTGCTTTGTAGTATTCCTTTCCAGGAACAATTTTATACTATGTTAACACAACAAATCTTACAATGTAGGAAAAATAATAGTTTAAAGGGAGCAGTGACTTAGTGATAACAGTGTCCGTGGGTTTGAGTCCAAATTGCAAGAGATTGTTATGGCAGTCAAGCTTAGAAAGAATTGATGAAAGTAATAGATGATGATAATCTAACATTTAAGACATACTATGATTGAAAAAAGTGTTCATTGTGCTAAATTTATTCGTGGCATGTCAGTATCATGTATTATTCTTGATCTATGTTGAAAATAAAATGTGCTAGAATGTAATAATATGTTTCTTGTTTGTGTTGGTTCGTGTTTGTTTTGAGAAAAAGTCAAGTTAGTATGACTTCTGCGTTGTCGTCGTTGCTATGTAAAACCTTTAATCACGGACATTAAAAGTCCGAAAGGCCATGCTTTAATGTAGTCCATCTAATAGTATCACTTTAAAAGGCATTAACACGAAATTTGGAATGCTTGCTTATCATGACAAGGTGCAGTTGTAAGACAAGGGGCTTCTTTCTGAAAGCTATATTTTTGGAGTTACGCCCCTTGTAAGTTTAAACGTAAGTAGCATGATTTATAGTCTATGAAATATATCAACATGAAAGGTGTAATTTAATTGCACTAAAACGCTACTAGGCAAAGTTTAAAACTAAATAGTCATATACAATTAATGTACTATGTATTATAGAGTTACAGCGATTTCTATAGAAACTGACGAGCCTATACATTAACGTAGCATTTTAGCTCACAACTATTATCATGCATTAGTTTATAATCTTAAAAACAGAATAAATAAAATAGAAGAAGAAAGTCGAAACAATATTGATATAATCATACATAGTTTAAATTAATTCCTTTTCGGCGCAGTTAAAAAGACTACCAATATTATGCACCCGCCCAAGTGTTTAAATGTATTGCAGCACATATTCGAAAATTTATTTTCTGTATTTGATAAACGAAATAGTTAAGTAAATTCTAGTTCAATAGCCCATCTCCTGTATAGATTTAAGTAGAAAGTCTTAGTAATAAATGTGTACCCGACAATTTATATCAATAGTACATGTATTAACACCCGACAATTTATACACGGAGTATTAACAGCAATTCACGTCTCAGTAGGTATGTAGGGTGAATAAATAACTTCACAATCTAGTTCTCTATTATTCTGACCGTACACAGCTTTATCGTATATTGGTTTGCATATAGCACCGTAAAATCCCGACATGTGTACGGAAGGGCTTTGCAGCGATCCTGCAGATATTTCTTTGACGATTTTGAAACGACTCGAAAAATGTTTCAAGGGGACTGAATGTTGTGGCGGGTATCTAAGTTTCTTGTGTTATGCAAGCCGGGTCTTTATTGGGCTTGGTTTAGACGGAATGGAAATTCTAGTTTTGAAAACGTCTGTGTTTTCGGATTTGACAAAAGGCAACGATGCAGTTGATGTTGGGCTTGGCGTGATGGTTTTTGTTTGTATGACTATCATAGGGATTCTAGGTGGGTTGGTTATTCAACCCCGTATCAGTAAAGATTCTCTTCAAAGACGTAAAAACATATTTTACCTTGCGTTTAAAACGATCAACGTGGTGTTCGCGGTGTTTATTAGTATCGGGACCATATACGGAAGAGACCAACTAGATTTTGACAGATGGGAGCATATTTTCTTGGTGGTCAGTCTTGGTTTGGACGTGCTCTTTGACCCATTTGAAATGATACTAGGATATTATCAGTGTTGCAGAAACTGAATTGACATTGAATATGAATGCAGAGAAATTTATCCAGTCTGTCTTATCCGTAAAAACAGTTTAGCCAACATATTAAAAGACATTCGATCACCGTATAAGATCAAACTATTTGGAAATGAATAGAAAAGACCTATTTGACGTAGGAAGCTTTGCTGGACTTGTTGTATTCTATTCTCCAGATATTCGGAATTTTGCGGGATTTTAGGACTAACTAAGTGCACTGAGTTTATTTCAAGTCGCCACTGGAAAACAAAATTGACTCCTTCCCCGGAAAAACAATTAGTTTCTTGGAACTGGAATTTAATTTGCATTGTTTGAAGCACCTTTACATGGACCTAAGATGTTAAATTTTGAAAATATCACTTTAAAAAAAAACTTGATAATAAAATATGTTAACATTGGTACTTTGTATTATATGAAATAAAGCTTTGCTACTAGAATCTAAATCTTTTTGTTGATATGATTTTCTACTACAACTCTATCTTGTATGATGATACAGTTGGTAACGTTACATGTATAACTTATTATTATTATTATTATTATTATTATTACGAGCATTAGTATTAGCGTTAGTATTATCTTAATCAAGTCATAAAATCAATATATTGATATGTTTATTGTGTGTCGTCATTCATTATTCTTAATTATTTCTATTTCTCTTTTATTCATAGATGTACATTAAATCCTTGTCGTTCTCTTTCAAGTTATAATTATAGTTTTTGAGTTGGCTACCAGAAACAAACCGTGCGGAACACTTTGAAATAACCGTTCATAACACCTGGAACATACTGTGCAGTACAAATATTATATGAGGAAATATGGTCGAGACTCGAGTAGGGCTCGAACCTACGGTCCCAGTCACATACATGTACTGGGTGACATTATTACATATACATGTATATTCAAATATAGTTAAGAAATATACTTTAAATAAATTGAAAATCGTATTTTTATGTTTTCCTTAGCACGAGTTGAATGAAAAGCGTTTAAACGCTTTTCATTTTAGGTCATTTATTTACAATTTGAATAATTACTCTGGAAAAACGAAGTGCGCGAATGATCTGAAATTTTGCATAAAGATTAGTGGTCTAAACCTACATCAAATGGTACATTTATCTGGAAATTTTTTTTTAGTCCCATCATGTCAAAAAACCTCAGTGGAGTCCCTTTAATAGTATTACACTTTCTAGTACATGTGATATATGTGATTAAATGAGGGCAGGATACAAAAAAAAATGTATCGAGATATTTTTGGCGGGACACAATAACAAATTATTGTTCTCTTAACATCCTCTCTTGGCATTCAGATATTCTTAAACATGATTTTACAAGTTTTCTAAAAAAAAAAGAAGAAACCTTGTCAATTGGAGTTGTAAAGTATGAAATCTTTTAATATATATTTTCGGACAAAGGTATATATTATTGTGGCTAAGGATCTTTCGTTCAAAATGTTTACCATGTATTGTTATTTTGTTGTTTTTCATCGGTTGTGCATGTATCTAGAGTTTGCAATGACCCATTTTTTCAGTAGCTGGTCCCTTCATAAGTATTACTTTTTAACTGTCTGTAAAGCTGAACGTTAAAAAAAACGAATGTATGTATATACGTATCCTTTTCTGATCACAATATGTATAAAATGAATTGATTCACAATGAGAATTAATACATTCACATATTTTCAGTGATACTCCGCTTTTCATGGAATGACACTAACGTATCACATTGAAGGTTCCATGACAACCGCAGTATATGCGAATGTTTCTACATTCAAAATTTCACCTTTACCATGTTTGAATGTTAAATTCTGGTAAAGCTGGGGCTGGCGAGGGGTCGAGGGGTACGGTGGGCATGGACGGTAGCTTGCGAATGCTATTACCTTCCATGAACAGCCTCAATCAAACCGAGTCTGCAACATTTTCATTTATGCCGTTTTGGGCTTTCTGTAGGGATTCTGCTTTTCTCTATTTTCTTTGTAGTTCTTAACTTATAAAAAAAGTTCTTACTACAAAACTATAGCGGCATCAGTTGTGATAATTCTTAACCTCCTGAATCTGTGTAATGGACTTATGGGAACAATCCATACAAAATTTCATTATCAGAATACATTAGAATACAAAAAAAAAGAGAGAAAAAAACGAGTAACAAACAGCATAGGGCTTGGTCAGACTGCACAAAATTGCAGACTGATCTGGCTCTAAACTTGTGGCAAAGATTAATCACTTTTGATTTGAGCAGGGTAAGGGTTAACAGAAGAGCATAAAGTTGACAAAGCTTCAAATGTATCTAAAAATAATATTAATAATTTTCTCAAGAACGAGCTTGAAATATTAGCTTTAGATTTGCGAAAAACGTGGAGAAAGATATTTTAACAGTTTCTTTATGGAATGCCGGTAGGGACATGCCACTTTGCTTATTTGCCAACTTCTGAATTGCTTATTTGCTAATTGCTGATTTGCCAATTTGCTTATTTGCTAATTGCTGATTTGCCAATTTGCTTATTTGCTAATTGCTTATTTGCTTATATACATAAATTTGTATGCTATTGTCAGGCGATACGTCCGACTTGCGGAGTACGTTCTTGTTTGATATGAAATAACAAGTCTTTGTTGACTTTATTTCAAGCTCATGAACCTATATATGTTATTATGTTTATAAATTTTGTGAATTAAATACTTGGACAATTATGAGCAATCCATCATTACCTAGAATATAGGTAGAAAGGCAGATGGATACTTTTTATTCAATTTCGAAAAAAGAAATAAATTCAGTATCAAAAAGTAGTTGTTTCTTTTTTAATTATCTTGAGTTTCAGTTTTAGTTAGCACTAGGGATGCTATTCTATCCACCAAGGCATTGGGCTTTTCTTGGTAACTTGTTTTTTTGTCATATCTCTGTTACATTCTGCTGATTCATGCATCTTACTGCAACTTGCATAAACTTTGCGTTACAAGCATGCATACAAAGTACATGAAGAAAAGCTGTGCCCCTTTATATACTGAATGCCAAAGGTCACCAAAGTATTGTACTACAAAGCCTTTGTTTTTTTTGTCATATCTCTGTTACTATTGCTTACATCTAACTGTAACTTCACATAAGCATTAAATAGGCATCACGCATACACAATATTCAAAGAGGCTTTGTCCATTATACCCTAGGTCATGATCATGGTCATGGTCACCTGATGGCATGTAAAATGTTTAACATGAAGAAACGGAAAAGTGTGACCAAATTTTACAGAGCTAAAAACGAAAGCCTATTGCTTAAATGCAAAGATAAACACCCATATTTGGCATGCACCAATTGGATCATTCGTCATACTATGGTTCGTACCACTAAAATGAGGCTCTACGTACATGACAAATCTGCTGAGAATAACGACATTTTTATATGCCATAAAATAAGAAATAGTTTTGTTTTCAAGTTCTTTTATTTTCAATCTTTACCCAATAATTTTCACTTATATATGACTATATCAAGTGTTTATTATGCATCAATCTCTGACTTAGGCTGCACAAACAGATCTATAGCTGCAACACATTAT